TTCTGTTGAATTGTTACTACCGGAAAAATTCTTCTCCGGTTCTAAGTTGAGAATCAAGAACCGCGGTTCTGTTCTAAGTCGTGAACCGGGACCGCGGTTCTTTTCGTTTCAGTTCTAATTCGAGAAATTTGAATACACAATCTTCTCGCAAAATTATTGCATTATACTTATCGAAAAATTATCACCTGTATCATTTGAATATGAAGATATTTATTTAGTAACAGGGAATTTTGGTGGAATTTATACATATCTATCTATGTTGTTAAATAAAGATGCTGAAGTCATATTTCCTATTCCATGATGGTTTTTCTATGAATCAATGATTATAGCATGTCATACACTATCTATTGAAATTAATATAAATATGGATACCTATGATTTAAATATAGATGATATAAAAAACAAAACAAATGATAAAATAAAAATACTTATCGTTAATTCACCTCATAATCCATCAGGTAAAATTTATTCATTATCTACATTACAATTATTATCCAATATGTTATTAGATGAATAGAATAAGCGGCAACAAAAGTATAGTCATGACAACCTATATGGTTAATATCTGATGAAGTACAGTCATATTTTATTGAACAACACTGAATTTATTTCTCCTGCTACAGTATATCCATATACATTTATATGTTATACTTATGCGAAAACATTATTAAATCCTGGTACTCGATTGGGATGTGTAGCATTATCAAGTAAAATGCCTTTAGATTATCGTTCATCATTTCGTACATATTTACCTCAAACAATAATAATGAATGGATATATGGTACCTGATTGTGTAACACAATATATGATACAGGATATAGAAACATTATCTATTCGTATTGATATACAACGTATGGAAAAGAAATTAAATATGATGTTAAATATATTATTATCTATAGGACATAAAATACCTGTAAAGCCACAAGGAACATTTTATATACTTGTTATGTCACCTTTAGAAGATGATCAAGCATTTTTTCGTCTATTCGCAATGAACACGAATGACATCTGTATTACATAGCAAGTTCGTTGATGGTCTGTCGTTCCACTGGTGAAGGCTCGAATTTCCAGTGAAGACTAGGATAAACGCTGGATTTTTAAATAAACGCCGTTTTTTATACTGTCTTGAAATATGCAGAATAGGGCACTTTTTATTGCCTTCAGAGAACCGTAATAAAGAGAAAAAATCATTGAAACATTATATTTGCTTTTTCGTCTCCAGAAACACGGCTGAATGTCAGCCTAGTCATTATTAATTTTTCAGAGCTATTCTCAGGAATCCTGTTCTAATTATTTTACTGCAATTAACTGCATCTGCGTTTTTTTCAATTCTTATGAGAATCTGTCTTGATGCGTAACGTTTTGCTTGCTAAACATTTGTTTTCGTTTCATTTCTTTTAGGTTACACATCCATCAGTAACAAAAATCAAACGCCGTTAGAAAATGACTACTGTGACACGAAAGGATTCAACGTCTTCAATGACTAGTTCAGTTATATCTGATGTCGGTGCAAAACCAACACATGCACTGATGGAAACTAAAGGGTACTATTTTGTCATACGAAGAACATGGTTTGGTGTAGCTGTTAAAAGTCGGAATATTAAAATTGGTGAAAAAGCAACGTTTAAAGATGACGGAAAAGGTAGAGATTTACAAGGATCATTTACTTGGGTAATTTTACAAAGAAACTAGACATGAAATGTTAATTTTTCAGTTAACGTTTTTTTAGGTGATGAAGGAGAATGTGAGAGTCAGCAAACTGTGCTGGAAACTGGTGATAAAATATTCGATAATGACATTGAAAATCACAATGGAAGTAATCAACAATATCAACAACAGCACGCGAATGCAGAAAATCGAGGGAAGAAAACAAATCTAGGTATAAACCATTTGGCTCAAAAGAAATTGTAAAATATATATAACTAAAAAAAAGAAAATAGACCTTAATCTAGTCCAATAGGACTAGTTGTTTATTTATTAGTTGAAGAAGGGACAGATAATGGAAACTGTAGACAAACTACATGTCTAGGTGAAAATCATAGAAAAGAAACTGTTTTGAAACCACAAACATGTAGGAATTCTTGCATGGATGAAAATTCACGATGAAGCTCGTATAAATATATACTTGTTTTTTCTAGAAGAGCAAATGAATTCTGCATCGAAGATTTCCTTTGGCAGTTGAATGGTACTCCAGTTAATGGCAAGAAAGCAAAAAAAAATAATCATCCTCCTACAATTAAACGTAATTATCTCGAAGAAGAAGTCTTTTAGTAGAATTGTGTAATGTTCTATTTCTGTGTTTATATAGAATTGTCAAGACTTCCGGTTAAAAAAACGACACAGCAAAAAAACTCCATTACTCCCGGTCGAATCCGTCATTCATTACAACGTATGCCAACATCAGAATATATATCGATGCCGTCAACATCAGATACACAGCCAAATGCAAAATATCAAATCAGTGAAAAATCAGGCGCTAAACGAAAGCGAACAACGAGTGCAACAACACCTATTTTAAGAAAAAGTCAAAAAGTAATGAATCAAGCATTAACTATTACATCAATAGCAAAACCAGGTAATTCAAACATGTTTTCTCTTAACAAGGAATAATAATAAATAATAAGAATATTATATTCAAGCATTAATTATGCATGAAAAATATAATCTATTAGAAAATGATGAACTTGTTATGTGGAAATTATTTCAATACATTGTGAAAAACTTGATTTTACATTAGAATTTGTGGAATATTTTAAAAAGAAATTTTTTAGATATTTACGATTCTAATCAAAATTCATCGAATAATAAATCTCATTTAATCGATTTAAATTATAAAATTTTAAGATAATTAGAAACAATAAAAAGGTATGATTTAGCTCTTGAATTATATCAAATTTTAATAACAATAGAACAAAATCATCCCCGATTAGCAAATGTTCATCAACAAATTTCTAATTGTTATAGAAAGAAGAATAAAGAGCTTTTAGCATTGCAATATAATATTAAAGCCATAGATATTTATATAAAATGTTCATTAGATGCTCTATTGTTCAATAATTTGTTAGTGTGCTGGATGAATTTTTCATGTTCGTATAAAAAAGAAAATTATTTATCAGCCATCGATAATATGAAATGTATAATAGCATTAAATAAAAAATGAATTCAACTGATACTGTTGAACTTGTTAGCAATAGCAATTTAGTTGGTTTACTCTATCTTAAAAATGAACAGTTGGATTTAGCATTGGATTACTGTACAAATGCACTAAACATAAGTGTTGAAGTTCAGGATGATGAATTAGGGAAAATTCTTAATAATTTATCACAGATTTGGTAGAAAAAGGGTGATTATAATCAAGTATGGTCTTATTGTTCAAAATCATTAAAAAAAGTTCAGCCAGAATCAATGATCAGTGAAGTTGTAATTGATAATAACCAGGAAATAATTGGTGATATTTATCGATATTATGATGAAAAGCAATTTAATTATTGTTATTATTTAAAGTCAATGCTACAATTTAAGACAGTTGTGCCACGATATTTGAATAATATAAAACGTGTTCAAAACAAAATAAGTAACGTTCATCATTCTGATTCGCCTCTCCTTTGACTATAATAAAAACTAAAGTTGCCACTGAAAGGCAGTCTTACTGTCTTCTGAGACAAATGGTAGGAGACAGTGATGGGTGACCATGACCGGGAAAATAGAAAAATTCTTAACTTTTAAAGAAGAGCCATACACGTAAAGCCTTTAGGTTTATTACTAGAACACTAATTACACACGAATCAAATCCATCATTATCATTTATTGAAGTTCTGGCCAATGGAGTTCCGATGAAAGCACTAGTTGATACAGACTCTACCATCTCCATTATTAGCACAACATCATTTCAAAGAATTCGACACCTACCACCAGTCAAATATCGTTCAACTACTTGTCGTACGGCGAATAGTACAGAATTGCAAACTATCGGTGAGGTAGCACTAAAAATTAAAATAAATCAGTTTGTTACAACAGTTACAGTTCAGATTGCTGAACCAATTTGCACAGATTTGATACTAGGTATGGACTCTATTAGCTTGAATAATGTTTCTATCAATGGTGGTCAACAACGGATTATTATATCTACACGACGAGGTACAAATTTTCGGAATGTACTTATAAGTGTTTACAGCTTAAGTAACATATAAATCATTTGGTATTATTGATACTATTATAGAAATGTTCATACAACAACAGTATTCCATATTTTGCATAAAGAGGTGTGCGGTATGAATTTCACTGTTTTACCACTTGAATTAGCTTTAATCACGATCGATTATATTCAGTAGATAAAGCTTTTAAATGGCTACAAAAATATGCCTAAATGATTGATAAAATTTGCTTTCTTAATAAGAAATAAAGTAAGTATAATGAAGCGGTATATAACACCGATTAGTACGTTACAAATTCTGTCATCGTCTAACTGTACGATGGCTGACCATATTTCGCAATTGTTTGGCAATTTGTACTGATGTCATCCCATCATCAATCATTCGCATAACCGCTTTTCGAAGGTTCTTTTTTTCAACGAACAGCGCATGTACAGTTGTGATTTGTTATTATGTGGCGCGTATGTGCCTCTAGTAAGTAATATCAGAGTGAATAGGAACTAAAATTGGAACACATATCGATTGGTCTACAGGCGACCATTGATTGTGACCTCCTATATGCTTCGTTAACCGTATCAACAAGAAAAGGAATTCGCCGTGTACCAGTAAATGATGTTGCCCGTAGCGTCGAAAATTGGTCGAGCAGAATTTTGTCCATTTTAAAACAAAAGGTGCATATATAAAATAAACTTTTCTTTTGTGAATTGTAGAGCTGCTCACGCTGCATCTAGTGGTGTATTTTGTTTTTTTTCAATAAAGCATATCAGATGATGAAAAGATGAAATAATAAAAAACGAATTCGTTGAATACCAAAAAATTATCTTCTTTGGAGCGTCGACATTTGATCGCTCCAAGATTCGTCCATTTTGAAAACAAAAAGTGCAGTTGTAAGACAAGCGGTCGTATGTAACTTGTAGAGCTTCTCACTCTGCATCTTGTGGTATATTTCGTTTTTCTAATAAAACGAATTATGTGACGAAAAAATAAACTGCAAAACGCAGCCATTCATTGTGCCGCCCCGTTAATAAAAACAATTCTTTTTATTTAGATCAAAAGCGTATAGCAGCTGTAAGAAAAAACAAAGCTTTCGATTTTTTTTCTATCATCATTGTTCTTTTGCTGTTGCATGTAGTGGTATTCAATTAGCTGCTATTTTGACTAGAAATACAACATCAGATTATGATTTAACGGCAAGATATTATTTATGATTTAAGTACAAATATTATTTTTACATTATATTTCTTGTATATTTTATGGTAAATATTGTCAATCCCCCAACTGTCCAGAAGCTTCTGACCCAGAACTTGGTGAACAATAAGTAATCGAGTGTTCTGATTCCGAATATTACATTGGTTTGAGCCCACTTTTAGTTTAAAGACCCGGTTTTTGAAATACTGGGTTTTTGGGTCGAAAAACCATTTGCAATACAAAAAAATTTGGTCCGTAAATATGAAAGAGCATATCGCGAAACCCACGTAAAACTGTTTTTCAAGGTTTTAGAGGAGGTTTTGAGCGGGTTTTGAAAGACTAAAACTTAAAACTACACCAAGGAAAACGCGTTTTCGCACTTATGCGTTTTGTGCAATAAAAATACTATTTTCTAGGTTATTGAACGTGCCAAATTCGAATATTCCATTGTTTTCAGTCCTTGGAAGAGCTAAAGATTTGGATTTGACGGAGACAATACTTTGATACAAAAATCTTTTACGCGAATGAAGCAGTTTTTCGACATGCCTAGATCAAAAAAACTAGAGAAAAACTGCTTCATTCGCGTAAAAGATTTTTGTATCAAAGTATTGTCTTCGTCAAATCCAAATCTTTAGCTCTTCCAAGGACTGAAAACAATGGAATATTCGAATTTGGCACGTTCAATAACCTAGAAAATAGTATTTTTATCGCACAAAACGCATAAGTGCGAAAACGCGTTTTCCTTGGTGTAGTTTTAAGTTTTTGACTTTTTCGAGACCCGCTCAAAACCTCCTCTAAAACCTTGAAAAACAGTTTTACGTGGGTTTCGCGATATGCTCTTTCATATTTACGGACCAAATTTTTTTGTATTGCAAATGGTTTTTCGACCCAAAAACCCAGTATTTCAAAAACCGGGTCTTTAAACTAAAAGTGGGCTCAGACCAATGTAATATTCGGAATCAGAACACTCGATTACTTATTGTTCACCAAGTTCTGGGTCAGAAGCTTCTGGACAGTTGGGAGCCTTCCCTCGTCAATTGTGCTCTCACATTCATGTTTAAATACATGTGATATTTGTTTGAAAAGGTCAATTTATACCGGATTTCTTTGATCTTGACGCATCGCTCAATTGTTTTCGACCGAAGTACGCCAAGCGGCATAAGATTAACATCTGTAGGAGATTCGATTTCGACCATCGACAAAAGTTATTTTTTATTCAACTATTTATAGACAGATGTTTTATTTGAAATGTGGGGGCTGAAAAATTAAAGAACATAAGAATAAATAAAAAAAGGTAATGTAAATTGCTTGAACTGTTCGAGAACTAATCTCAGTTGTTATCGTGGTGGACTTACGAGACATTCTAGCACCTGTAGTACAAAAAAAGAGAGAAATAATCTAAGAACGATTATCATTCGAGGAGAATGGATCAAAAGTTGAACTTATTGATTTGCTTAATCAATCAAGTTTGATATTTTGTATTTCGAAGCAAATCGTTTCATCTTCTATCAAATGAAACATACATTGATCAGATTATCTCAGGATGCTCAACACTTATTGTAATCTGAAGATCTTCAATTTCAAACCAAACTTGTATCGAGCTGTTGACTTAAACTGAAGGTGTCGACATGCTGTGTAAATGTTCATGTACATCTGTGAGCAAATGAGATGAAGTCTTATCTCCTTTATGATTGTACGACAGAAGAAGTTCACTCTATTATGTCATATTCTTAGGAAAATTGAACAGTTTTTCATTACTTACTTGATCAAGGAACTGATTACGAACAAGAACCTAAATGCCTGATTACCTAAATGCTTCAACATCCGCCTCAGACAGCAAATTTGCTGATGATCTTTTTGTTTTAGTACCATTCAAAAGAACAGATAATAAGACAGTCATTGAAATCTTAGTTCAGGCTGAAATTGATCGTGTGTCTTTCTGGTGCGAAAAAAATCAAATGACTTTAAACGCCGTTAAATGCTCATACACTTATTTTACTCTAGATCCAAAAATGGACCCTCATCTTTCACTTTCTCTTGGCAATGACCCTAAACTATTAGGTTTACGTCTTTCGCACGATCTTAAGTGGTCTACCCACATTAGTGAACTTGCTTTGCTTTGCAGGCGTATGCTAGGAGCTTTAAATCGAGTATTCCAAGATGCACCACAAGCCATTCGTCTGACTCTTTACAAGACTTGTGTTCTACCCAAAATTGACTATTGCTCAGCAGTTTACGACTCGAACTTTTCCACTCATCTTGCTCCACTAGACTCTCTTCAGAAACTTCGACCCTGAAACAGACAGTAGTACTCTCGCTACCCAGCTACGACTGCCTGATCTTACAGTGCGTAGGCGCTATTTTCTTCTTGTCTCTTTTTACAAATTATATAACAACCTCTCTCTCCTTAATCGTCAAGAGTATATAACTACAGTTAGGAACACAAGGTCACTTCGCCGTAGCACGAATTCTCAAGCGGTAGAAGTGCCTTTCACCACCTATGAGACGGTGCAGTCCTCTTTTTTCTGGAGAACTCCTAAGGACTGGAATCCTCTATCAATGGAGCATATAGTCTCAAAACCGTCTCTCTCCGCTTTTAAAGATGCACTCAAACTCTTTCTTCTAATGTGAGACTAATGATGTTTTTTGTTTATCAATATTTGTACTGGTTTTCTTTTCTTGCTCTTTTGTTCTCCTCTTTACCATTTTGTTTGTATCATCTCTTCTTCCTCTATGGACATGTTGACAAAGTTATCTGCCTAGACTCTTAATCAAACGCAGTTTTTATTTTGTTACAAACTTTTGCACTAGCAATGTTTTTTTTCGTGTATCCATGGCTATGCCAGAATAAACTGAACTGAACTGAACATTTAGACTTGCTAAGATAATCAAATACGTTCAACTCAACCGATGAAATATTCGTTAGGGCATTAGACGTATTTAAACATGTGCATTTTAAAACTAAGAGAAGAACGCGTTCAAACACGTTTTATCGGCATGAAAATTTTGACTTATGACAGAGTTGTAACTTGTCTAAAAATAAGAGACTGGAGCGGACCGGCCGGTCCAAAACAGCGGAACAAACCGGACACCGACCGGTCCAAAACGGCGGAACAAACCGGACACCGACCGGTCCAAAACGGCGGAACCGGTCGGCCACCGGCCGGTCCAGAAATCGATTTAGACTGGTGAAAAGCCGGCCAAAGACCTGCCGGTTTTCAAAAATTTTCTAGACGGACGAAAGGGTAGAAAAACTCATTTTCTCTTACTGAAGAAGAGAAAAATGCTAAGAATTTCAAAACCGGTCAATTACCGGTCGGTTTGAAAATCTTTCTAGACCAACAAAAGACCGGTGTATACATCATATTACCGCATAAACACCGTTAACGATAACCCTGGAGAACGTACTTGGGCGCAAGTAGTTGAAACATCTGGTTCGCTTGCGTACTGAAGTCGATACTTGCCTTTTTTTCAGAAGTAAATTTATTTGTAAGTACGTGCTTTCATTTGACAAGTACGTTCACAAAATATTTGGTAGCAACTTAATGAAGTGTGGTAATCTTACAGAAATACTCTTGTGAAAGTACATGACACGTGGCTAATTTGAAAATAATTACCAATTTTTCAAGTACTTGGAATAAGTATGTTCACGAGGGAAGATAACGATGGAACCCTCATCACATTAGAAAATGGCAATATTTGGGATATCAACTAGGACTGTAAAAGTTTCCGTTACGCTGATTTAACGCTAACTGAAAACACAGTTATCGTTAAAATAACGGTAACTAATTTATCAGTTAGCGTTAAAACAACGGTAAATGAAAAGACAGTTATCGTTACTTTAACGGAAACTGCGTTTCGTTGCAATAACGATAGCTATCAGTTAGTGCTTACGACCAAATTTGATTTATCATGGCTGATTATAAGTCCCAACTTCTAGCCTCCCGGACTCATTCTAAAATGAGTTAACTTAAGTGAAGAAAGCATTCCAACTCAGCTTTATTTACGAACTGTTCCAGACCTAGTGATGCTTGATTTGAGGAGTGTCGATCAATCAATTCAAACTATTGATTCATATATATTATTGTACAAATATTCATTCGATGCCTGAAGCATTGTTAAATGTTTAAATGAAAATAACTTACACACACGTCCGTTTTACATACATCTTATTTTCAATTTTACACGTACGAATTCGATAATTGAAATAATGAAACAAATCTTTTTTTCTACAATCTTCACTCAATCACTTTTTAATTGTTTATAGAGACTTTTTATTTACTATGTGGTATAACACGATGTGCAATGTCAGTGATAAATGTATTAACATTATTATTTATTTCGACAAAGATAGATAAATCTCGTGTATAATATATCAACATTTACTATGTAATGGCATATATTTTGTCTTAGACTAATCACGGTAACGGTGCTGTTGAAATAAAAGACATCCTTATTATCAATAAATCACAAACAATATTCATTTTAGCACTAACTCAAACTAGACGAAGACTATGTCTGCAAACAATATGTTGGGGTTTCGACATGTAAAAGAATTGGACCTTAACAAAGTATGCTTTTCTAGTTAGTGTATAATTTGAGTGACTATCATGAGTAAACTACAACTATCTTGCTATCAGTCCAGTCAATTATTATTAGTTTATCTTCCATTGAAACTAGACATTTTAGATGAGAATCTACTTTAATGAAGTTGTACATCTGACTAGGAGTGGTATATTATAGTTGTACAGAGAACTCTCTTTCTCTATTACTACGATGGGGGATCAATATCGAGGAAAAACTGTACTATTTTGTCAACACGAAACAGGCGTTGATTAATCTGTCTAGACAAATAGTCAAGTAACTAATTAGTATGAAATCATTGTTATAACATTGTGGCTTTCTTTCTTTGTCTTTATTATTATTTTGATACACTCACTCCACGATGGAACAAATTCTAATACATGACAGACGAGTGCACGATTTACCCTCCATTAATTGTATACGGAAAGTATATTCCAACAATAGGCAAATGAATAACCACCACAGCTAACGAATTTCCAAATGAAACAATCATTCACCAAAAAGGGAAACATTGACTGCATTTGTGAATGAGAACGAGCAATGCTC